ACCCTCAATTCCCTTGATGGGGGTGTGGGTGGAGAGAAGGGTACGAGACAACGCGAGAGAAGGGGGGGATGTGGGAGGGGGGAGGGAGGGGGGTGGCCGCGGAGAAGGAAGAGGCAGGGACCCGAGAAGTAGGGGTGAGGAAGAGGAAGGGGGATGAGGGGGAGGTGGGAGGAGGGAGGAGGAGGAGCAGGAGGAGGAGGAGGTGGGAGGAGGGAGGAGGAGGAGGAGGAGGAGGAAGAGGAGGAAGAAGAGGAACGTAATCGAAGGGGGGACCAATGCGAGGAGGACGAGGAGGAGGGAGGGGGGGAGGAGAAGAGGAGAAGGAGGAGGATGGAGGATGAAGGAGGACGAACGTGGAGGGAAGCGCGGGAATGCCCGATGCCCAGGTGGCCGGCTTCGAACGGAGCATGCTCCCGAGCGTGCGTGGCTGCATCCAGGGCGCCCGGTTCATTGCCATGATCCCTTTCGGGGTCCTCGGCCCGTATCTTCGGGACAAGGGCAAGGGCTCTGGGTGGAGCTCTGCGGCGTGCGCGAAGTTCGCTACCAGCGCGTCCAAGGAGGAGCTCGCGTCCTACGTCAAGGCGTGCGAGCATAGCCCAGTGAAGCCAATCTGCTACGCGACGGCCGGCCCCGGCGACATCCTCTACGCGCCGACGGGGTATTTCATGGTGGAGCAAGTGCAGGCCAACATGGACATCGTGGGGATCAAAATTCAGTCCGTCAATTTCGTGGAGGACTCCGCGCACATCATCCTTCAGCAGTCGAGCGTTGATCCCGCCCAAGCTGGCAACAAGATCCTCGGCGAGGCGTTGGACCTGGTGGTCAAGCACCGCAAAAGTATGGTCGAGAAGTTCAAGGAATCGTTGAATGGGTGGGCCAAGTACCAGAATGGGGCCCTGCCAGCGCAGGGGCAGCAGAGGCTGGCCGCGCCGCCGGCAGGGGCAGAGGGCCTTCCACAGGCCGCGCCGCCAGCAGCGCAGGCAGCCCCGCCCGCGGCGCCAGCGCCAGCGGCCCCTCCAGCACAGCAGGAGGAGGCCGAGCAGAAGGCCCGCGAGGAGGCTGCGACGACAGCAGCCGAGGAGGCAGCCGGGCAGGCAATCGCGGAGGCGAACGCCAAGGAGGAGGCCGAGCAGAAGGCCCGCGAGGAGGCTACGTGGAAAGCTGCCGAGGAGGAGGCCGCGGCGCAGGCTGCGGCGGAGGCGAAAGCCAAGGAGGCCGAGCAGAAGGCCCGCGAGGAGGCTACGTGGAAAGCTGCCGAGGAGGAGGCCGCTGCGCAGGCTGCGGCGGAGGCGAAAGCCAAGGAGGCTGAGCAGAAGGCCCGCGAGGAGGCTACGAGGAAAGCTGCCGAGGAGGAGGCCGCCGCGCAGGCTGCGGCGGAGGCGAAAGCCAAGGAGGCTGAGCAGAAGGCCCGCGAGGAGGCTACGAGGAAAGCTGCCGAGGAGGCCACGGCGCAGGCTGTGAAGGAGGCGAAAGCCAAGGAGGGGGCTGAGCAGAAGGCCAGCGAGGAGGCTGCGAAGAAAGCTTCCGAGGAGGCCACGGCGCAGGCTGTGAAGGAGGCGAAAGCCAAGGAGGGGGCTGAGCAGAAGGCCCGCGAGGAGGCTGAGGCGAAGAAAGCTGCCGAGAAGGAGGCTGCGGCGAAGACTGCGGCCGAGGCGAAAGCCAAGGAGGGGCCGGCAGAGAAGCAGGTCGCGCCGGCCGAGGACGCCGAGGCCCGTCCAGCACAGCAGGGGCCCACGGCGGGGGGCGGGTGGAAGAGAGGCAGAAAGAAGGGGGGGGGAGGGAGGAGGGAGGAGAGAGGAGGCAGAAGGCGGAGGAGCTGAGAAACTGAGGAGGAGGGGCGGAGGGCGAGGATAGAGAATTGGGTCGCGGGCCCCAGGGGCTCGAGGGCTCGAGGGCGGAGGCGGAAGGCGATGACCCAGAATCGGCGAGGATCGAAGATCGAAGATCGATCATCGAGGGTCGAGGATCCAAGATCCAGGATCCAGGGTGTCGACCCAGACCGTCGGTCCACGATCCCAGCTCGTCGGCGCTCGACCTTCGATCGAAGATCGGTTCTCGAATTTCAGTCGACCTTCGATCCTCGCCTCAGCCATTGGCAACCCGCCAACCTCGACCTGCGAGCCCCGATACTCGACCCTCGTTTTTTTTTCCGATTGATCCTCGAGGGTCCGCGATCCTCGAAGGTCGTGGATCGGTCGAGGACGGAAGGTCGAAGTTCGAAGGTCGAGGGTCGAGGATCGAGGATCGAGAAGAGGGGGGCGCAGCGCGCCATCCGCCGTTCCCCGGCCCCCCCCCCCCGGCGGCGGATCTGGGGTTGGGCAAGCCTGCGCCCAAGGCCAACGTCGCGGGCATCATGCAGGCGGCCCCCGCGCCCGCGGCCAGCCACTCGGGCTCGGCGATGGCGCCTGCGGGCGGAACTTCGCCAGAGAAGACGGGGGGGGCAGAGGAGCTGGGGCCTGAGGCCGAGCGTGAGGAGGATGAGAAGGCTGGGAAGGCAGCGGAGCCCGCGCCAAAGAGGCGCCGCACGAAGTTGGCGCATGCCGCCGCGATCTCGCAGAAGCTGACGTTTGGCGCTAGCAAGTGAGCGACGAGTGACATGTAACAAGTTCAACTAGACGTAAGAGTGACCTTTCGCCGGAGTAACCTTTAGCGCGGGCACAGATGGGCCCCCAGAAGGCCGAGCGCGAAGCGGTAGTAGCGGCTAGCGCACCTGGATTTGGCCTCCCCGCGGCCCCCCAAAAGCCGCGCACCGAAGGTCACTCTTACCCAGGGTCACTCTTGCGTGTAGCCGACAAGTGAGAGCGAGTTAGCGTGTTAGTGAACGGCAGATGGGGAACGTGAGCGAATGCGTGCTTGCTTGCCTGGGGATCGCAGTCAAGCGTTTCTGAGCTCTGAGTTGCCTGACTGCCCTGCTGCCTCGCTGCTGGGCAGGGGCCACCCGCCACCCAGGTCCCAGGCCCCAGTCCCCTCGATTCTCCAGCCACAGGCCTCGAGCAGCGAACAGCGTAGGAATTCAGAGCGAAGGCAGCGGCCAGGCGGCAGGGGGCAGGCCCGAGGCATGAGGCATGAGGCTCGAGGCGCACAACCATGCCAACTATGCTTCGAGCGATATGCGATATGCGATGCGCAACTATGCACAACTATGCGATGCGATATGCGATATGCGATGCCTCGAGCCTCGACGGGCTCCAACGCTTGACGCTGTTTTTTTGGTCACCCGTCCCTCCTCCCTCCTCCTCCTCCACCCTTCCGCCCTCCACCCTCAACCTCATCCCTCATCCACCTCGAACCTCGATCATCGATCATTTTCCTATCTTCCTCTCTGCTCCCTGCTCCATGCTTCCAGGTTCGTGACCGCAGTCTCGGCCCGCCCTGCCTCGCTGGCCCGCGGCCCGTGCGGAGCCCGTTTTCCTTTTTACACGTTTGTTCTGTTTTGAGTCGAGACTTGGAACGATCATGCACTGTGTCTGAGAAGAAGCTCCCCCTCCCCCCCCCCATCATCGTCCTCGTCCTCGCCCCTCTTCCCCCCATCGTCCTCTGCCTCTTTCCCTGGGCGCCCTAGCCTCATGATCCTCCTCGTCCTCCTCTCGCGTTCCTCGTCTTGGCCATCGTCGTCGTCGCATCGCTTCCCCCCCGTCCCCCCTGGAGCGGGGGGCGGGCCTGCGCCGCCATCGAGGCGGGCTGCCAGGCGCCGGCCAGTGGCCAGGGGGCGCCCAGAGCCAGAGAGGGAGGGGAGGAGGAGGAGGAGGAGGTGGATGAGGAGGAGGAGGAGGAGGAGGAAGAGGGGGAGGAGGAGGGGGGGGAGGAGGAGGAGGAGGGCGAGGAGGAGGGGGAGGAGGAGGATGAGAAGGAGAAGGGGAGGAGGAATAGGAGCAGGAGGAGAAGGAGGAAGGAGGGGGAGGAGCGAGGAACGCGAGGGCGAGGAGGAGGGGGAGGAGGAGGAAGACGAGGAGGAGGTGGAGGAGGAGGCGGAGGGAGAGGAGGGGGAGGGGGGGCGCTGGCGAGGAGGATGAGGAGAAATGGCTCCACGGGCCGCGAGTTCCCCTTGGGCAGTTTTCCTTCCCTGGATTGATTTTTGATGGCCCCTGGGGCCCGAAAAGGGTGGGTCGACGATAGAAGGTCGAGGATCGAAGGTCGAGGATTTCCTCTGTCTCCTCCCTCCTCTTCGCGCCACCCTCCACCTCCTCCTCCTCCTCCTCCCCCATCCTCCTCCTCCCTCTTCCCTCTTCCTCAAACCTTCAACTAGGGTCGCGGCAAACCTGCGCCTGCCGGGGGCTGGCACGGGCCAGTGGGCCAGTGGGCCAGCCGAGGATCGAAAGTCGAGGATTTCCTCCGCCTCCTCCTCCCTCCTCTACCCTCTACCTCCTCCTCCTCCCCCTCGTGCTGCCTGTTTCGCGGGTCGAGGCAAACTAAAATGCTCCTCTCTCCCCTCCGCTGTCTCTTCCTCCGCCTCCTCTCTTTTTTTATTGTCGCACTGTAGTTCCTTGCCAAAATTGAATTGTTTAGGTCCCCCCGCAATATTTCGCCCCCCTGTAAGGCATTGTGCACTCATATCTCACTGCCCCACAGGGGCCGCCGTTCTGGGGGGGTCGAACAGTTTTCCGCCGGAGCTGACATGCCAGACAGCATAGGGCACCCAGGCAGACAGCAAAATAACGCCTACCAGACAGCACAAGAAACCTAACAGCCAGACAGCAACACAAGACCTACCAGACAGCGCCATAACACCTACCAGGCAGAAAAAGAAACCTACCAGACAGCAGCAGGACACCTACCAGACAGCAACATAGCACCTACCCTTACGTCGATCGGACCTGCATGCGCCCAGGGCTCGCAAAGGGGTTGCATCCTCGACGGTCAAATTATACGCAGACAACGTCCGTCCAAACGACGCAACATAACAAACGTCGCCATTATGGCTCGAACCCTTTGAGCGCCCTTTGGGCGCCTGGCGGCGCCTGGTAATACTTGGCCCCGCGCAGTGTAGTGGGTCAGCGTCCATGGCGAGGGTCCACATGGATTGCATTCGAGAGGGGCACAGGCGCCATTGCTTCAACGTGGGCGACGCTGACCTTCAGAGGTTCGAGAATGGCGCCACCGCCATATTGTCCTCGAAGACCTTCCACCACCAGCCGAAGACGATCCCGACCGTTGTCTTCTTGGGGACGCTCTGCCCCCAGGGGGGCACCCAAGACGGTCATGTGCCAGAGACAGGCGAGCTACTACGGCATCTGCTCCTTTCACTTGGAGGATCTGAAGAGCGACAGGCAGAAGAACAAGCACAATGTCCATGATGATGTCGAGATGGAGCGCATGGCTGGCGTTGGCCAGAAACTTTGCATGATCGAGCTGCGCCAGTCCGCGGGAATCGCACCGATGGCGATCACGCGCGTCGGCACGACCACGAAGAAGGTGCCCAGGGACGAGGGCGATGAGAGGAGTCGGAGAGGAGGCAGTTGGAGGACCTAAGCCCTAAGCCAGAGGAGCGCAGAGAAGTCCAGAGGACCCAAGAGACCTCGAGACTTGCATTCCTTGGCAACTCCAGACTTTCCTCCCCGGGCCTTCTCAACTTCCCCCTCACTCCCTCACTCCTCCCTCTTCTCCCTCTCCCCATCTTTCGCCGCAGGTGCGCGTCATCTTCGACAGTCGCACCGCCGCGCCTTGCGCGCAGACCGCTCCGAATGTCTTCAAGCCGTCACATGCGCCAGAGAGGCCAGCCATTGCCGACGGCGCGGTCGACGCTGCTGCATCAGGCGCACCTTCTTCCGCGGCTGCCGCAAGTTCGTTTGCGTCGGCTTCGCCATCAGCAGCCTCATCATCATCGCCAGCAGCATCATCAGCCGATGCAACATCAGCAGCAGCATCAGCGAGACAAGGTCCGCAGCTTGGGCGATCGTTGACTTCGAAGGATGAGGCCATGCAGCACGATGAGGCTGACTCAGACGGAGATGGGGCCAGCTCCGCATGCGCCGCAGCAGGGCCGTCGAGGCAGTCGTGGTCAGACTTGGCCGCGCGAGTGGAGGCGCAGAACTTGAGATCGATCAAGTGGGGCGGGCATGGGTCGCCAAAGAAGGGCGAGCGTGGCGACGGCAGGAACGTCGAGAACGACGGCCCATGCCCTGAGGTCAAGGACGTGTGGGGTATGTTCCAGTGGCCGATGGACTACTTCGGTGCGGCGGACGCGTCAACTGGCCTCAACGAGGCGCTCCGGCATGCGAACCAGGAGGACGGGCTGCAGTGCGCAGTTGACGGCGCTGGCGCAGCCTTGACCAGATTCGTGCACAACATGACCATCACCAAGGTGGGCCTCGGTTGGGCGGGCGTGGACGCCCCAGGGACTGCGCTGGCCATGATGAGTTGCCAATTGTTGCAGTACTTCAAGAATCACTACCCGCATAAGCACGTGCCCGATCAGGAGAGCAACGCTACCATGCCGACCATCGAGTACGCCGAGAGATCGATCACGAGAAGAAGGCAGAGCTGCGGCTGTCACCGCACGCGCCGAAGTGCATGTTCAGCGACTACGAGGGCTTCTGGAAGGTGGAGATCAAATCGACGATCAATCGTCTGAAATCGGAGGGCCAGAAGGTCAGCTTGACTTGCAATGTGGGGGGGTGCGTTCCTGTGTTTATCCTGGTCGGATCGTTTCGAAGGCTGTACCTTGTCTGTCTCATATTGGTGTCTTGGAAACCTCGGTGCTGAAACACATCCTCTGAAATATCGGGGCTCCTGCGTCGATCTGGACAGGGCGTGTTAGCAGTCGCCCGTGGCCTCGTCAGGCCGCATAGTGAAATCAAGCCGTCGTCTCGTTATCTTCGCCACACTGCAACTCAACGATGCAACGGGTGAACTTGAACCCCATCCTCCCGCTCATTCTCAGCGATCGCGCCGTGAACGCGAAGGCGAAGTGCAGCAAGTGCAACAAAATCTGCATCATGGAGTACGTTGACATTCACGCGGCAGGCGTCTCCTGCAAGCCCTTCTCAAAGTTCGGCAAGCGGGAAGCCCTGAGGTCCGATGATCACATGAGCGCATTTGGAGCCTGGGCTGGGACTGTGCGGTATACGAAGCACAAGGTGGTCGTCTTCGAGAACTCGGACAGGTTCAGGGAGCAGACTCTCATCACCTTGTTCGGCGACATGTACGCCATCGGATGTTTGAAGTTGGGCGGGCCGTTCTTCGGCAGGGCAGGGAAGCGCGACAGGATCTACGCAGTCATGGTCAACAAGGACAGCTTCTAAGCATGAAAACATGGCCCTGAATGGTCCGAATAGACCGCGAGAGCCCTAATCGTGAGCGCCAAGGAGACTCCCGGAGAGCCCCAGCCCCAGGAGGGCTCTTGGTCTTCAAGGTACTCCAAGTTCCCAGGTTCCCCATCGGTTCGCTGCCCTGGAGGACGACGGCGTCTTCGCGATGCCGTCGCCTTCCAGGCAGCGCAACGACAATCGTAGAAGCACTGCTGACCATACTGCTCCTCCCTGCCAAGGAGTTCGTCACCGGGGTGGTGTTCAGCGTGAAGAACGTGCTCCCGTGTTTCCACTGGGTTCTGAAGTGTGCGTTCCTGGAGTTCTTGGCGGCGGATAAGGGCGGTCGCTTGGGGGGCAACTTGGCCGACGAGCTGGTATGGGCGCACAACCGACCCACATCGAGGGCGCAGCGCAAGTACGACACCGTGCACGACCTGGTCAACGCGTCGTCGGAACCATACTACGACGCACTGACGCTCGGCGAGCTCAAGTTCCTGGGCGAGCGCACGCTGAAGGGCATCGCTGACGGGCGCGCGGCGATGCTCAATCAAAGTGAGGAACGCGGCTACGGCACCAAGAGCAGCGAGGACGGGATCTTGCATCCGCTCATCGCCAACCCAGCCCTGCACTTCGTGGTGAGAAATGCGAAGGGCATCAAGAGGTGGATCACGGGCTACGTGATGCTGGTGTGCCAGGGCTTCCCCGTGCTCAACGAGCTGAGCAATCCTGGTGGAGATTGCGCGAGGACGTGCAGCTATGGGAGGCCGGTGGGCTTCCGCAGCGAAACCGCAAACACATGGTGGTCGCAGCAGGTGACAGCGTGCAAGTCCCAGTGATTGGCGCGGTGCTCTGCTACGTTCTCCTCTGCGTGCGGTTCGGCGACACGCACCCGAAGCAGAAGGCAATCGCTGGGGACTTGGAGGTTCAGAGGATGCGCCCAGAGGCCAGCGACCCGATCGACTCGCTGAGCGAGATTTTCAAAAACAAGGAGCGCAGGAACGGCAAGAAACGCAGGCTCTCGTAGATAGTTCGGCCAGCCCGCCTGACTGGCACGCTGATTCCGGGCGCACGCTGTGCGCCGCACAGCGGCTGGGGGGCCCTCGGTTCGCTAGACTCCGCAGGGCCGTAGCTCGATCTACTGGGACAGCAGAAACTCACAATCGTGAGGTTTACGTCATGTCGACGTGACGCCGATCCCAGAGCGGATGTGCAAAGTTAGACCGCCGCTGAGTCGGCCGAAATTGAACGCCCTGACGAACGGAATGCCGCGGAGCGGCCGAGCGGGTTGAACGATCCAAGCGGCGTCGGAAACCAGCGCGCACGTCGTCGCGAGACGATTTCGAGTCGCCGCTGTCGGCGTCGTCATCGCAGTGAACGCAGCAGTATACGCCACTGCACGCCCTTAGCAGGGTCATCCTGGGACTACCACGCCCTCCTGGACTCCTGGTCGCAGCCGAAGCCAGAAGGCAATCCCGAGGGTCAAGGCGACCCCAGCCAAGGAAGACGGTGGAGGTGGTGGTATTGCTGCGTTCTCCGCCCCTCCTCCTCCGACCTCTTCCTACCGCCTACCGCCTCCTCTTCCTCCTTGCCTCTCCGCCTCCCCCTCCCTTCTCCCCTCCTCGGCCTCATCACCCCCCGTCCCTCCTCCCATCCCCCCCCCCCCCCCTCCTCCCCCGCATCCCTCGCGTCGCTGTCGCTCACCTCCACCTCCTCACTCTCTGCCCTTGACTTGTGGGACCCAGTGCCCAGCGAGGCCGAGGAGGCGGGGGGGAGATGAAGAAGATGAGGGCGAGGAGGAGGAGGGGCCGCCTGCCCGGGGAAAGCAGCGGGGGCGAGGCGAGCGGGGGCAGGGGGCCCTCAGGGGGCCCTGGAGAAGGATGCGAGGATACGAGGACAAGGAGGGGAGCCCAGGGGGATGCTTGCGCAGGGCGCCTGACCCCAGGGAGGACGGGTCGACCCAATGGTCCATTTGGAAACGACTGGACAAGAAAGGGGAGGGACGCCCCCCAGGGAAGGGGGGAGGAGGAGGAGGAGGAGGATTGCGGAGGAAGAGGAGGAGGGGGAGGAGGAAGAGGAGGGGGAAAACGATAAGGAGGAGGAGTGGAGCAGCAGCAGCAGCAGCATCAGCGGCTGTCAGTGGCCTGTGGATGAGGATACGACGAAGGAGGAGGACACCTACAGCAGAGAGAGAGAGAGAGAGAGAGAGAGCAATCTGAACAGAGACACATCTGAACATTGTCTGAACATACTCTCTATGCTTACGCTCCTCCCTACCAGACCAAGGCCAACGCTCCGCTCTTCCTGCTGCTCCTCCTGCTGCCCCTCCTCCCCCCTTCCGACCCCCCAACGCCATTTGGCTTTGACCTTTGCTGGCGACGTCCAGCGGGCCGCAGGTGGCCCCAGAAGCCCTTCCAGAGGGCGGCGCTCGCTCGTGGCATATGGCATCCAGAGGCCCTCCACAGAGCAGGGCTGCGCGGCGCGCAGCAAAGGGCCATGGCCCAGGAGCCGCGGCCACTGCGCAGGTGCCACGGCCACGGCCGGCGGCGACGACCGCGGCCCAGGTGCCTCGGGCACCCCCCCTGCACCTCGACAAATACTTCGACCAGAATTGCCAGACCATCGAGTCAATGTTTCCAGGCGCCCCCGAGGGCCTGCAGCTACTCACGAAGATCAAGGAGGTGTTACTGCTTCGCGCGGCTTGCAGGGTCGCTTAGCATGGCTACGCCTTATCCGCCGCGATTGGCATAATTCGGGTCTGTCGGTGTTTGAGTCATAGATATACATAAAGATTTGGGGGTTGTTGGAGTCAAGGAAGCGGGCCCTGGACGGGCTTCAAGTGGTCAATCGATGTTCTGGGTGAGCCCTCTTGTGGGGCAACCGTTCTTCTTTGACGATTGCCACCGCCGACAGGTTGCGCCTCGCGAGTTGAACGTGCGGCACCAGGCCGTCACAGTCAGGAAATACGTCTCCAGCATCTTACAGCATGGCAACTGCCAGACTGCAGGGGCGGTGCTTGCGGCATGCTGAGCAGTGGTGGACAACCGCCATGGCGACTGGCATCCTACGCATCGCTCACCAAGGCGATCTTCTTCGCGGCCGAGAGGCACCCGGACAATTCAAATGTAGCGGCAACCTTGAGAGAAAGGTTGGTGTTGGATGAATACCATCATCGGACTCCACAAGTCATAACCGTGTGGATGCGAGGCTTCGTCAATACGCATGGCGGTGGCACTGGCGCTAACGCCCACCAGGTTTTGGAGGCGACTCTGACCGTCGAGGCCGGGTGGATCGATATCGCAGACGCCAAGAAAATCAAACTTACTAAGTACGCGGCTCAGGCCCAGGCATTCGAGTGGATCGGCACGCGCGCTACCTACAAGACATTCTTGAAGGACAAAGACCAGTGGGAGCAGACGAAGTCCGTTATGCGCTTCCTGAGAACAAGGACGTGGCACAGTGAGTTCTTGGAGTTCCTGGGAGATGAATGCGACCTTACAAGCGTGGACTTGGACAAGGACGAACTTCTTGCTAACCTCTACTCGGCGGTCCTGATCATCAAGAAGTCCGTCCAATACGTGCAGGGCGATGACTGAAGCTGCTCTTCTTTGAGCTGGTGCGCTTCATGATTCCGCTCGGTCCGCAGCTGAACCTTTCTGACAGGCAGCGACGAAGGGTCGAAGTTGAAATATGCCCAATGGCGACGAACCTCTCCCTCGTCCGGGCAGAGGAAGGAGGAGGAGGGAGAAGAGGGGGGGGAGGATGAGGGAACGGAGGATATCCAAGGGGAGGAGGAGGAGGGGGGGGGGGGGGAGGAGGGGAGCAGTAATCGACTGAGCTCCGAGAAGCACCCCCCGCAGCTGCTGAGGAAGAAGGACCCTGTGCGCATCGGCCCCCTCCGCATTCCCATGGGCAGCAGCGAGGTCGTCAGTCCGTCAGAGAAAACGATCAAGAAGAGAGAAAAAGGACAAGGGAAATAAACGGAAGGCAGAGTCTATGTCTTCGTTCAGACTCCCAGACGAGATGCCTGCGAAGATGGTGCTGAGGTTGGCGTCTGGATCGTCGCCATCGTTGGCGGACTCCCAGACCGTTGATGTCGATGCCAGAGGGGGGGAGCGAGCGTCATAGCTGAGGAAGACGACGCAGTCGCGGGAGATGGCGAGGACGAGGAGGACATGGATTGCGCCGATGATGAGTCGGAGGAGCGCGAACGCGTGTTCTTGGACGACATGGTTGACGCCGTGTGTACAATCTCCTCGAAACGCACGGGATCAAAGTGCCAGGATACATCAAGCTGAAGGTTAAGTCCGTGGTATACCCGTACATCTTGGAGTCCATGCTGAGCGCCGAGGTCAATCTTCCATCTGGGAAGCTCGACAAGTGGAACACCGTCCGCGCAGAAGCCCAGCACCTGATCCTGAAATCGCACGTGACGGTTGACGGTGCTCAACAGGACTCCAGCATGCCGTGCCTCCCGGGTGCTGCGCAGAGTGCTGCAGCCGAGTTGATGCAGGCGCTCAGAAATGCAACAGGCGACGGCGACTTAGATGTCTCTAGTCGAGAGCAAGATGAGCAAGGAGGATCAAAACGCAAGAGATCTCGTGAAATTGATGGGCTTGGCGGAACAACACGGCGAAGACATATCCCAAATCTTGAGCACGAACAAGCCCGATAAGCCGTCTAAGATGCACATGGCCTACATGCAGTTCATGCAAGCTGCTTGGGATGGGCTCGATAAGGACGCGCAGACAGTGGACAAGCTCGTGAAGCAAGTTGCCCCCCTAGGCGTGTTCAAGACTCTGGCGATTCGCATCGAGCCGATCATCCCAATTGCCTGGGTTGGCTTCGCCATGCTGGCAGCCGAATATCTGCGCAACAACGGGGAGGAGAGTGCCATGCGTTTGAAGCCAGCAGTTTTTACAGACAAGAGTTCGACCCAAGCTTTCATGAAGACTCGCGTCAGTTATGTTCTCCGTGCACTCGTCGATGGAGTCCTTGGCGGAGGTCCCCTGGAGGACTCATGGACGCAATCGGCTCCTGCCCGTGATGTTGTAAACTGCATTGCGGCTAACTTCAACACGTTCGTCCAGCCGGCCATTGCATTCGAAGGCGACCTCTACTCCAACGACTCCAATGACTTCGACATCGTGAAGGAGTGGCCCATGCAGTGGTCCAGGCTCTTCACGGCACTCACGGGCAAGAAGGGCAAACTCCTTGCCGAAGCCAAACCTGTTTTCAACACGTTCCTGCGCGGGCAAGACGACGATGGACAAGGAGAGACCGCAGACGCCCACAAAGGCCAGGATGGCGGCAAGGGCAGCTCCGAGGATCCGTTGCCGAAGGTGACGACGATGAAAGACATCGCCAACTTCATCCACCCTGACACAGCCGAGGAAGCAGCGGGCTGCAAGCTGCAATCGAACACTCGCTGAGGGTCGAAAGCTCGGGGGGAGGGCCTTCCACAAGGGTTCCCAGGCCCAGGGTCCCTGCCCAGTGGGCTTCCGAGGTCGGCAAGGTCACCAAGGTCGGCTCCCCTTCCAAGCCTTCGAATCTTTTGCGTTTGATCGGGTTCGGCCAGGGGCGCTGAGCGCGCCACGGTCAACATGGGCAGCATGCTGGCGCTCGCGGCTAAGGAAAACGGTGACCACCATGGTGCCAACAAGATCCAGACTGTGAATCTCCCGAGGGAGTCGTATTCGACTCAGTTCGTCAAGATGCTTAGCATGGAGTTGGAATCGGAGCTATACAAACTCGCCTTCATGAGCAAGGGCAACGGATGTTTGGCCGACCTCGAGTGCATCTTCGAAGATCCTGCTGCTCCGGACCCCGAGACCTGCGTTATCAAAATGAATTCTGACACGATCGGCAAACTGTAACTGATAAGCCGGTTGACCTGATCCGCCTGAATTCTGACGTGAGGGAGACTGATGTGAGGTTGTGTTCTCGGAGGGGGTGTTGAGGTTGAGGAGGGGTAGGGCGCCTTTGTCGACTCGATGCGATCATGCACCGACTCGGCCTCGACCTCCC